CACCAACTACATTACCAGTCATGACGAAAATTACTGATGATAACATGACTTCCAGGACTTGTGGCTTAACAGTGATTTAGCCTACTTGTTTACTTATCTTTCAGAAGTGTGGTATCAACAGAGTTTTGGAAGTTGGAATGCCGGGTAATTACAGAAGTCTATAAATGGCAATACTTGTTTACTTATCTTTCAGAAGTGTGGTATCAACAGAGTTCTAAAAACTATAAATATTATGATTATTCAAGTGTATAAAATTGAAAACCATTCTTTAAATTTTTGATAAGTTTATTTCACTTTGAAAAACTGACTTGTTCAAAATATAAAATAGGTGATGAAATTATATGAGAAATCTAGACACAAAATGGATATCTGACTGTTTATTTATCCACATAATTAACATCAAAGCTTGCAAAAAAAAAAGAAACAACAATAAACCTTCGTTATCAGTAAAATTTTAGCATCAATTAAATGATATTTTATGAAAATAAGCACATACCAAAAAATGAAGACACTTTAATCGAACTGTGTGTAGATAGATACAAGTGTCAGTCCCAGTTAGCGAGGTATATTTACACAATGAGCACAGTTTAAAAACAAAAAATCTGTTTAAAATATCATGCCTTATTATCAGTATTTTAAAACAGTTTCTTAAGCTCGTTAAAATGATACAATTTTTTATTAATTGAAAGAACAACGTCGGAATGAATCATTAACACTCAATTTGGTAGTAAAGGTTTGGAGTAAGTGGGCTAGAAATTCAGCTAGTTAGTCAAAGACATTAGAACGTTTAGAGAACTTTGAAAATAAATTTTAATCAACAAAGATGTATTCTTACTTCCCAATAAAATAATTTTTATATCACTCCAAAAATAAAGCAACATTTCAAGGATGTTCAGACACAGAAGCAAATAGTAGTGTTATAACCAAATTCAGTAAAGTAAAAGCTGGAAAATTAACGACCAAATTCAGTAGGGTAATAGCTGGAAAATTAACAACCAAATTCAGTAGGGTAATAGCTGGAAAATTAACAACCAAATTCAGTAGGGTAATAGCTGGAA